TGGGGGATTAAGGGGATTATGATAGGGGGAAAAAAGACTCTCGGTGCAACGGACTGCTTCAAAGGGCCCTCTTAGATGCGGAATCCATTTAACTCACATGCCCTGCTTGAACCATGCTTGACCCAGTGAGATGTGACATCTCCATGCTTGAACACCATACACATGAACCTCACTAGTCCAACACAAAACGGTGTACTTGTTTTACAACGGGTCAACAGAGAACTTTTCTTCCCCCCCCCCTTTTATCAAGCAAAAATTGGCAGTCCAACAAATCCATATTTCTCTTTGAAACTGAAATTCTTTCATGAAGTCATGGATTTTCATTCAATATCAAGACAAACTAGGAGATTCTAAATGCCCTTTAATTAAACTCAATTTTGGGCATCATTTCTGAACTTACACTGAATTTCATCTTTTCTCATGAGAATAAAAGTTGGATGAAGTTTTGCAATAAATTAACAACATATCAACATTGCAATGATTGTATATATGCCAATACTATAGGTAATAAACTAACAAAGTAGCAATTACATTATGGATTGGTGGTACTGATAATGGATAAGTTAACAAAATTATTTCAATTATAATATTCACTCATGCAATATGCCACTCAACCTTCACAATAAAACATTGGTAAACTAGTTATGAAATCACACCCATAAACTAGTCTTTAAATTGTTTAAAGAACATATTTTTCATTTCCAAATCACATCGATCTTTAGCAATACAGTAGTAATATAAACAAATTACAGGGGCACTAAAACCATACTCGATTGATGCCAGACGCTAATGTTTGAGTTCGACATTTCATTACTGGCTCTTCATCAGCTGATTAACCCCAATTTTCTACCACCATGCCTACACTAAAAATGTGTTAACATGCAAACCAAAATCTACATCTACGATTCCATAATAAGCCCACATCAGTTACTCCCTATTCCAAAAACATGTCTCCATTCCCCTATTGAGTCAGAATAACAAAGTTAGATCAGTTACCCAAAACGTCAAATTCTGAGAAAGAATGTGCGACAATAAAGAAGTAAGCGTGGGAGTCCAAATCGTCAGAGGGTGCACTCGTTACTCATCAGCGGTGCAGTGCCCGCAACTCTGACGCGATAACGCTCCCTGTCAGAAAAGAACTTAAACATGGTATTTTGCTTGAAAAATAGGAACAGGATTGAAGTAAAAACTTACCCTCACATAGAACTATATCCAACTATTCTCCTCAAGAGTGTTTGGCTGTAAAATATCCACAAGTACAATATAAGAAGGTAAGAACAAGTTCCATTCGCTTAGGAACTAACGTACGGGTAACGGGCTTCTTGGACGAGGATTTTAACGTGTGTTACGACACCCAACAAGCTTCCAATGCGGTGGGTGTGCGTAGCGGAGCGAAGTAGTCGAATGCACCTGATCGTATTGTGCAATCACGGGGCTGCATTGAGTTACTTATTCCACTATACAGACCCTGTTTGGCAATTCAGCAAAAGAAGGAACAATTTGTTGAGGAAATCATACTTGCAAGGATTTTGTACGTATTTTGTTTATCATCCATTGGATATTAGAATAGCTTTAAGCTTGGTATTCATTTCACTCTAAACATTTCGAACAAGAAAAGTGAAAATATAATAATTTTAGGTAGATAAAGGGGACGAAAGTAGACTATGCATCAACAAACTTATGCATCAACAAACTTTGAACGAATACGAAAACTACTGCGCTCTGACTGGCTTCTGTGTTCGTCAGCTCCAATGAAGTCAACTCGGTGGTAGAAACAGAATGTGTTACAGCGCCATCTGCAGAAATATACAAGACAGGTACCCATCGGATATAAATATCCTGTCGTGGTTATGAATTCACAACTAAAATTGTATTGCTTTCAGGTTAAACTAAATAAACCACGACCCTGTCTGATAAAGAATCAAAGATATCGCAGTTGATAGATTTGAATCAATTGGATATCTATATAATTTATGAGAGATAGGAGGTTGTAGTTTTTCGACAGTATTGATTGGAGGACTTTGCTTGATCTGGACCAATCGCCGGACCAATCGTAACTCTTTAAGAAAGCGTCCAGGCATTAGTTCATCCATGCTTTTATGTTTCCACGAGTGATAAATGTCAGAATCCTTCCAATTACCTTATTTACATAATTTTTAAATTTTACAGAATGTGCGATTCGAAACAGAATATTTGTAAGTTTGTCAACATGTAAACCTGTTTATATCCAATTAGGGCTAATGATAAAAATTGCTTCTGACTTACCGGTAAACAAACAAAATGTGGCTTTCTGGCATTGGCATAAAAAAAAAGAACAATACAGGGTGAATGATAACAATTGCTTTTGACTTAAACAAACAAATGCGGCTTTCTAGCATTGGTGTAAAAACAGAACAATACAAAGTTCAACTTTGAGGTTATATGATTGACAGTTTTTCTACTTTGATTTACTGGTAGTTCCCAGTATATGATTGGAAACCACCTCTGAATTAGACCAATAATTTTGAAATCCAAATCCCCCATATTTCACATTTCTGTTAAGTAGAGAACATTTGTTACTCCTGTAGTTGCTTGATTTTAATCTTCTTTCTTTTGATACAAGGTCATTATCATTGATGTTACTAGGTTACTATGTTGTTATCATTATTATGTGATTAATTTAATGGCGGGATATTTTATTAACATTTGAGGCTTACTCTCGTTGTTTTTCTGTATTCGTTCCTCTTATTTAGGGAGTCCAATGTTGTATATACTTTTGTTTTAAGTACTTTTGTAGACCTGATTATGTTTTTAATCTTCAAATTTGGATAGAAATTGTTCTTTATTATTGTTATATTCTCGGGAATGTGAATCACAAAACAAATTAATGAATACTTATTAATTCTACCTTGAATCACATGGACAGTTTTATCAGGATTACCCCTTGCCATTGGTAATTCATACAAAGACTATTATATTTTACTTTAAATTTCTACCATAATCTTAGTTCAAACTTTATGTAAAATATTATCATTATTGTATTTATTTATATTTACTACTTATATGTATATCGATTTCATTTTTTAATTTTTTTAAATTTTTTTTATTGTTATGTAAATCTTTTTTAAAATAATCAATACATTTTTTTTTTTAATCCCTAAATGTATCAAAATATTGGTCAGTAGCATATCTAAATGTTGGCTTCATAGGGAAAAAGTTTGGATATGCAATTTTGAAATGATGGGGGGGGGGGGGGGGTCTGAATGGGATTAAAATGTAGTCTAAGTCTACCCCCTTCTCATCTAATGCCACATATAACAAATTATTATTATTTTTCACATAGTATCAGCAATGATATACATTTTTCTCTTTATCAAAGTCACAATTAGTTTGCAATAAGATTCTTTTTAATTTAGTCTTTTAAATTTACAACATGTGAGCCCATATATTACTGCAAAACAAAAAGGTTTCTGTGGTAACATCTTGCTTATTGGCTGTAAACAGTTACCAAAATACATTTTCAATTCCCATGAATCAGTGGAACCCGTGGGGTGATTCCATCAACTAAACAATGTTTATAGGACTATATTCTGGATTTCCATGGCTAGACCAACGTGGGTTACATTCAGGTCACAGATTGGTCAAATGTCAACTTAGGCCAAACGATCCCATTTTCAAAATACACTTTATGTGTTTACTAGGCATAAATATGCTGCTACAGATACATCTCAAATAGTGAGACAACCCATTTTTTGGGTTTTTGGGGCATATCCAATGACACCATTATCTCTTGCTATTATCATTATCATTATTATTGTATTATTATTATTATTATTATTATTATTACCGTTATCATTAATGTTATCATTGTTACATTATCATTGCTGTTTATGTATGTGTTAATTGATTGGACTAATTTTAAATTCATCAGAGGCAATAATTATTTCAATGTTAAGAATGGCATTTTTTGCATTTTATATTTGTCAGCAAAATGTAAATTTGATGAACATTTTTTCTTTATTCCATTAAATACACCAGTACTTATGAGCCATAATTATAAAAAAAGAAGGAAATTTTAAACCTCTATTCAAAAGAAGAGACTATAAAAATTGGACAGCTACTATCAAGTTAATATAAGTTAGATACAGAGGAGTATAAAATATAAAATACAATGAATTGGGTAGACGGATAGAATGAATATTTGTAAGTGAAAGGATGAGGAAGAGGTCACAGCCAAAAATTCAGGAGCCTGGCTTTTAAAGCTAACTGTGACATGAAATGTGCTACCTGTGGGGCCGTCAAATATTGACATTTAATCCACCTAAACCTGACTGAATTGGATATATTTTAAAGTTGTTTTGCAAGGATTTTTTGCGTAAATATTTGGAAGGAATTTGTCAAGAATACATTCTAGATCCCTCTCCACCTCCCAAGATAGAAAACAACAGAAATAGATGAAGAGGGAGTGGTATACAGATACAGAGAGAGAGAGAGAGAGAGAGAGAGGCAGGGAGAGAGAGACAGGGAGAGAGAGAGAGAGAGAGAGGGGGGGGGGGGGGAGAGAGAGAGAGAGAGAGAGGGGGGGGGGGGGGGGAGAGAGTAAAGGTAAGAGAATGAGCAGGTAAAAACAGATACAGAGAGAAAGAAACAGATAGAGAGAGTGATAAAAAGAGAGACAGAGACGGAGAGAGATGAAACAAATTGAGTAAAGAAATATAGAAAGAGATTGAATGGGAGGGGGAATGGCAGAAATGAGGTAGGGCAACATAATGAGAGAGAGAACAGAGAGCGAGAGAGAGAGAGAGAGAGAGAGAGAGAGAGAGAGAGAGAGAGAGAGAGAGAGAGAGAGTGAGAGAGAGAGGAAAAGGGGGGGGGGTAGCTGTATTGATGGAATATTATATTCCATCAACATTTTGTCATATACAAAGTCCTACACGAACAACAACAAAAAAAAAACAGCAAGAAAAAAACATTGAGAAGAAAAGCAAGAGTGAAAACAAGGAAAACATACACGAGTCTTTAAGAGTGCATTTACAATTTGAGAATTTAATTTGCAAAATCAAAGTCAACCATGACAAAATACTTGCATTAAAAACTTTACAATGTCTGTTGTTCACTCTTCCTTACAGAGCGATAAAACTAATTGCTGACATAGTAATCATACAAAAGAAGGCCATTCCTTTAATTCTTGTAGTTTAATTTACATTGTATACATGATGACACAAATAAAACAAACAAGTAAATAAATTTCATATGGAAAAAAAATCTTGGTTTCCTACAAAACAGAATCTGTACAGAGCAAATAAATTGTTTTATTATAGTAATATAGCAATATTTTACACACAATGCTCATAAACCTATACATCTGTCAAATACTATCAATACGTCTTTAATCTTTTCAGTTCATACAATACAATTTCCATGTTAATTTTCATTTGTAATATGCACATACATAAATTTGACGTTAGTTTGTATCATTATTACAGCATTATTAAATAGAAATAGTTTCTTTGTTTCTCATCAGACAGTAAGATTTACATTCGGTCTCAACAGTGCATGTATTCAAAGTAAGTACAAATATATATAGATATATATATTTTATTTATCTCTGTCAAGTCCACAAAACAAAAAAATTGATTTGGGTCGTGCAATAATGTAGCCATTGAAATTTCTGAAAAAAATAACACAATTACATAAAAATCAAGAAATACAATTAATGATTAAATAATACAAACATTGACAATCAAGAAAAATAACATCTGTTCTTAAAAACATGTACTCCTCTTTCTAAAGCATTTTTTCAATCATCTCCATTAGAAGTGATAATCATCTCCTTTCCGTCCATTTGTCCAATTTATTTTCTACCATTTGTCCATTGCAAACACATAATCCCAACACATTCATACAATCTAGCATAATTTCCATCTGAATTAAATATTCAATAAAAAGAAAGTTACAGACAAATTAAAATGACCATCCCTTAGGTAATGAGTTGCTTATTCTCCAGGATTTGAACCATGTTTAAAGGAATACCAAAATAATTCAAAAGAGGCAATGCTTTTTAGTGCATTTTAAAATCCTCTGTTGTCAGGGATATGTATAGAAAGTGAACTTACTAATTTGGATTGTCATGGAATTCGGCCCAATCAACAACGAAACTAGTTTACACAAAAGAAATAAAAGAGATTTCTGTATTCGAATATTCCACAATGTCTTTGCGATGGATGATAGCATATTAACAAGAGAGCATACTAGCGGCTATTTCACCTCAAATATATTTGATAAAGTTTCTGTAAGTGTTGAATGACTTCTTGTGCACTAATACTTAATTCTTAATTTGCAGACAGAGAGCAATTTATGCAGTGTCTGAGAAATGTCTGCAGTGCTCTGAAATATGTGTGCCTTAGATGAGTGAAAATCAGAGTGGCAACATTTTTCTCTTGACACCAATTCCTCTTTAGTTACTGCAAAATAAATGTGTGTGCAAAATATGTTGAATGCATTTGAAGGTAATGCCACTGACGTATGTGCTTACTCCCATTGTATTAATATTATACAAGTGCCATCATTGATAAAAGTATATTTTTAGTCTATACACAGATATAAATAATTTGAGTCATGCCAACTTAGCTTCCCATTGTTAACAAAAAGCAACTTAGGGTAAAATAATTGATTCAACCCATAATTTACCAAATTAGTCAAGATAATAACTTAAAATTCACCATAATTTAGTGAGTTTCTCAAGATATGACTGTGAGAAATATAAGAACCCTTGTTCATCTACAAATAAGGCATGTTTTTCTTCTTCTGAATTCAAATTTCATTGATTTATTTTTCACAGACCCTATCACAAACACTCCTTATGAAAATTGCTGGTGTGAGAACAGTGAATCCACTCTGTCTAGTGATCTGCACCATTCAATTGAATAAAATAAAACGTTTCTTGCATTAAATATGGAATAAATAAAATGATAAATACCAAAATACATCAAGACCATAATGGGTTGTGCCTTAGCATGGCTACAGAGAAAATTATTGAAATATACATAAAAAGATAACACTACCTAATCTGCTTTTCAATTATAGGTATTCCAATTACAATATGCAATTTTGTTTATCAAATGTACTTTTACAATGTAGAATTTATTATGCCTCTTATTAAATACAAGAAAATGTGATGCTTTTATAATTTCTGCTGTTGGTCTTCGATAAGTTATGGGGAGTAAGTTTTGAATAAATATAAACGATTTGAATTGGACCAATATATCTCTAGATGGGAAGCAATATGTGACACTTCCCATAATTAAAACCTATTCCTAAGTGAGATGTAATGGGCTAATGATGTATAAAAAGAGATAAATATAGAACAGACAGAAGTCAGATACATTTCATGCAGTGGGTAGATGGATCACAACACAGAATAAAAATAGATGCTTTCTCTCTCTCTCTCTCTCTCTCTTTCTTCCCCCCTCTCTCGCTCTCTCTACTCTCAAATATTTTCAAAATCCACGCAATATTGGGACCAGCCCAAATCTATAAGATATCAGATTAAAGACAAACTAATATTCATTCCAGAATGCTACTTCAGTAAATGTACACACAAGTCTGATCTACATACAATACATGTAAAATACATTACACACAAGATTAGAAAGTCTATTCGCAGTCATGCTTCTACACAAGCAGGCAAGTCTGAATGCCTCATTATTTTGTAAGAAAATTTCTCTAAGAATTGAGAGATAAATATTGTATTTGGAATTAGGAACACCATCTGTGGATAAATTATGCACGATCATATGTACATTATAAAATGTAGAGGGAAAATATTGTTTATGTGTTTTCAAGGCAATTAATAAAAATTCAGTCTTACAATTGTGTCCTCTCTCTTATTAAAAATATTTTAAGAAGTCCTTTTAGAAAACACATTGTAAATTGTGCTGTTATCATTTAAAAAGTGTGTTTTCATTATTTTGTAGATTACTTTTTTTCTTTTTTTCGTCTTCTGGTGCTAACATTGTGGGATTGACTTTGAGCCATGTTGATGAAAATGTCAGGTTAGCACAACTTTCAAATTGAATCAGAAGCAGATAAAACCAAATTAAATTTAACACTCAGACTCACTAAGTAGTATGCAGAAGTATGAATGTATAAATGATGTTGGAGTTAATAATACAAAAATAAAGTGCAACTTGCGATGACAAAGAGATCGTAGTAAAGTGTAAAAAGGTCAAAGTCTGACTCATGCTGTAATATGGTATATGGGCGCATCAGCTATCAACAGAGTCTAAAAAATGGACTTCGAAATAAATTTAAACAAATGATAACCCTAACTCTATTCTAGATGTCAATTTAATTCAGAATGAAAAACAGTGTCCGAGGATTTATAATCATTAATTATGTTGAAGAATACATAAATCCAATACAGAAAATATAGTTTTGTCTCTTTGTGAGTTCAGATTTGGTGCAGTATACTGCAGATAGGTTGCTTCTAAAAAGCAGTGTGTTCAGATCAGGCAAAGAGATGTGTTTATTAGATTCATCATCATCATATATAGACAGATGTAAAATCTGTGTTTGATAAATGTCAGTTGTATGCATAAGCAAGCACATGTAGGGTGGTGGGTATATAAAAGAAAAGTTCAGCAATGACAGTGATCTAATCATGATCATGGGCTCATAATTAATTTTCAAATGCTTACATATTTGTGGACCATCTCACACAGTGACTGAATATGAATTTTGCATTGCTAAGAGGACACATAATTCCTCTCTTTCCTGATGAGATAAGAGTATATAAAAACATGTGCCAAAGGAGGGTAGACTTTCAAACAAATCATGAAAGAAATGGATGTCCCTTACCACACCTAAAAATTGACAGATATATATTTAATGTGCCATCACGTATGAAGCAATGATTCCTGGGTGCCTGTTCAGTACATCTTGAAGATTTTTACAATTCATTTACTATTACAATCCACTTTCCCCTGCATTCACTATTTTTTAAAGTTTAACTTTTGAATTCAACAATATACAATAAATCTCAAAACTTAGCATCTTCTGTATTAGTGAGCCTTGACCTTACTAATCTACATACATACATACATACATGTTCAGTATTTCGTATATATGATCTACATGAAACGTTTGGATTCAATAAAATGCGTAGGGTGTGTGTGTGTATTTTTCTCTAAGACTTGAATATTGATAATTTCATGATAAAAATCTACAGATGTGCTGCATTTCGATGATTTCTTTCCTGTCACAGCATATCCTAACACTTGCGTCCTCTCAGTTTGGACGATTGCAGTGTTCCGTCATACAGAAACAGATCTGTCTCCTTCTCTTCATCTTGCCGGGTCGCAGATTGCCTATTGTGTCGGTCATAAGGCATTTGCTGTAGTATTCAAATTCCATTTTCACTTTAGGATCCATGCACCATTATTTCAAAAAAATCTCTTAAATCTCTTACACAATGTCTTCCAGAAGATGACTCGCAAAGTGTTTCATCTATGATGTGCATCATCTTAACTTGATTTGTCAAATTTCACATAATTATGTTGCATGATGAAGCAGAGTTCTTTCAATATTCCACAAATTTCATTTCATATTCTCCATCATGATAGCTAAGTTCCTCTGTTAGGTAGATTTCTGTGGTAGTTGACATTAGCTCCTGAAGAATGCTGATTCATCATCCTTTCCAGGCTTTTATTTCTACCACTAATCTGTCACTAGATTTCAAGATATGTTCTGTCTTCATGTTCAAATGTCATACAAGTCATCACATTATACCCATTTCCACAGTTTGGGGTATAGATAGTCGATTGTCCATTTAATTGAAAAGTGAGAAGCCAAGTCGCTTCGCTTCGTTTGTTCACAGCATAAACTGTCATCATCCACGCATGTCAAATGGGAAGACAGCAAATTGGCTTTGAATGGGGGTCTTGGGGGAAGGGCAGTACATGAAATCGTCTGAATGTAACCTCGCCCGATTTAGCGACGAAGGTTCCGATGCACTGCGGTGGATCTTCGGTAGCTGCCTGGCCAAGCTCTCCAACGCTGCCAAAACCTGCACAGGGACATAAATGAAAGAGGAATGATCTTCAGTCATCTCAAAAGGAGCAATATGTACTATTAACTGTATCTATTCAACAGGTAGTCAAGGGTTATTCCTTAAACATAGTTTATGATCTAAATGGTTTACATATGTTGTGCTCATATACAAATGAAGGGTACCGTAAATCTCCCTGTATACGGCGCACTTTTTTGGCGCCAAAAAAAATTGAAAGTCGGGGTGCGCCTTATACACAGGTACAGACATTTTTTTACTTTTATTTTGTTTGATTTTATTTTTTTAGTTTTGGTTTATGGCGCTATGCCTGGCAATGTCTCCCAGCTCAGTAATCAGTGTTGACTCACCACTCGGAAACTACAACAACACTAAAATTTGTTTGTCATCTTGGTTTGAAAGTAATCTTTCTAATAATAATTCCTCAATATTTTTATATAACAAATGGTGTACCACAAGGTTCTATCCTAGGACCTAGGTACTCTATTGTTTTTAATTTACATTAATGATCTTACACATTCTTCTAAAAACGACATTGTTACTATCATTTGTGACAAGTTTACAAGCACAAATCAGCGCCTTTAACAGCACCTCGATGTTAAATGAAGGTCCTTCCCTGCATGGGTTTTCGGCAACAAAATAGGGGTGCGCCTTATACACAGAGATTTACGGTAGATAAAACATTTGGAAAACTTAAAATCTATTCCGTTCCTTCCCTTTACTTACTTTGTTTCCCTGAAATCTGTGATGCACTTTTTAAAAATTCTAGCAAAATGCTGGTTTACAAAATATCAATGCAGAAAAACTTTACTGTGCATGAAATATTTGCCAAATTTCAAGAATGGTTTAGATTATAGAAAGTTTCATGCGATAACAAATAACAGAATAACAACTGACACAACGTAACATTTTTGCAAATTGCAAATTTACTTTCCACAAAAAAAGAAAGAAAAAGTCTCTCCACAAAGATGGCCATCATTGAAAATGTTAAAGTTTTGGGCCCTGTTTCATAGAAATTGTAGTCAATAACAAGTTTCATAACTCTCTAACAAATTTGCTCTCAGCCAATCAAATGCAGCAATTTGAGTAGCTTATAACAGTTATTGCAACTTGTTATCGATAAAAAGTTTTATGAAACGGGGAGCAGGTTATTACAGTATGCCTTGTATGAATGAATGCATTGCTTACCACAGGGAACAAGGGTCTCTCATCTCTATTGAGCGCATAGCAGTCTGTGATAAGTCTCTTGAGTGCCTTGGGCGTGTCGTTCCGAACCTTGCTCAGGTCCGGCTGTAAGTAACCACGCCCAACCATCCAGATGATCTGCGTCGAAGGTTAGAAAGGTCAGAGGTTAGAAAGGTCAGAGGTTAGAAAGGTTAGAGAATGGAGAATAAGTCCTAGAATAGTGCATGGTGAAGATGTGTCCAAGACTAATGTTAGCTTTCTTTGGTTTTAAAAAAATAAAGCTATATCTGAAGCTAAGGCTTTCTTTAAATCTTATTCAAAATCTGTGTATGAGTACTAAGTTTTTCTTGGATTATGGTATATATTTTCCTCATGGATCATATTGTTAAGAATCTTACAATGAATGTTATATTTTGATGACTCCAAACTATGGCCTTGACTTGCTTGGATTCTTTGTACAAGTATGTACAAAAAAAATCATTTACTTTGAAAGGTATCAAGAATACTTTATTGTAATAACATTGACTTTTTTTAAGTTGGTCCAATATTGTATGTAAAAATAATCTATACATCAAAATATAAAATTCATATACAGGTATGACTCTTTGATCTTTGACCTCAAGACCCAAACATCTGATCGATTCATTGGCTCTGCAAGACATGTCTTGAGTTATACAGTAGGCTTGCGGGTGCACCATGTCATGAGTTTGATGGTAATTTGTCAATCAGTTCTTGAGATAATGGGATCAAGAGAACGGGACATACAGACGGATGGACAACCAGATAACATAATGCATCTGGCAGAGGCATAAAAATGAAAAGAAGCACACAATCAAATAAAATTCTTAAAAAAATCAATATAAAGATTTGACCGTTACCTGATCTTTGTGTTTGATGTTCTGATATGGCAAAGATTGCGTGACCAACTCAAAGAGAACCACTCCAAATGCATAGACATCAGACTGGAATGAGTATGGGTTAGTATCCCTCATCCTAATCACTTCAGGCGCCTACAAGGACAAGACAATCAATCAAAATCACCATTAAGCATCAATTAAAACAAGTCTTTTTTCTGGAGGATATAGGTCATGTGGAGTACGCATATTCACAATGACTTAGCATTAATTAAGCATGGCAGCGCCTCAGCTATATAGGCGAGCCGATCGGGTGCACATATTATGTCATCACTGTAACTGAAGCAAATTTGACCGCTGTTGACCTGTAATTTGGAGAAGTGCAAAAAATAAGGTTTTAATTCGCTTTTGTGCAATACTGAAACAGAATTATTTTGTATTCCTTTATGTATTTTACGTTCATTCATCTTTCCATTAATACAAAGTTGTATTTTCATCGAATAGGGTCTTTAAAAGTACAGTGGATTATTCTGCAGTTGAGGGGGCCAAAGTAATCACTTACCATCCAGAGTATTGAACCTGAAGGCTGCTCAAACTGCTGTGACCCACTCCACCTTGATTTGACCGTAGCTAGCCCAAAGTCTCCTATCTTCACTGTGAGGTCATCGTGCAGGAAGATATCTTAGTGGGAGGGAGAGCATCGGTTAAGGAATATATGGCAAGAGAACCATCAGAAACCGAAGATCTTCTACGTAACCAATACATCTACAGCAATAGTTCTTGTTGAATAAGATGCAAGTAATGTATCAGAATTTCACACGTAGAAAAGTATGTACTAGTAGTTTGCTGTGTATAATGCATACTTTTAAAATAAATTGAATTTACCAAGGGGATCTTAAAGGCCGTGTAGCTTGGCAAATACTGGTTAACACCATCTACGTCTTCTTTTTGACAACTGCACGTAAACGAATGGACTTGATTAACGGTAGTCAGCGACTTAATCTCTACATGGTCAGCGTTCGAAAAATAGACCAAAGTTCTCCTCACGCTTCGGTTTTGCATATGTTACACACACGTGATTGCTGCGGTTGCATCGTCCGTAGTCGTATTATACCTGATTGGCCCAGAGTCAGGCCACGGGAAAGACACAGTCTTGTCAGTTTACACTCCCTGTAAAAGCTAATGACAAGACAGCCTGATCTTTTAAAAGACTATTTCCCTAAAGACTGTGATAAAAGGATACTGTTTGATTTCAGGTCTCGATGGATGATGTTCTTTGCATGGAGGTAGCTGTAAAGACACAAACACAAACAAGAATTGTTAATTCACAAAAAATAAACAATATTTTCACAAAGAAGGTTGATAAGATAATAAGTGTGACAAGCTACAAATGTGAGGTAAATGCAAAGAAAAACAAACTACAAAGTAGACACGATAGATAATAACTATGCCACTACCCACAGTTCTTAGCACACATGTTTGAATCAGGACTAACTAAATATGTTTTACTCATGGAATTTTAAAGAGAGAAATATGTATCAAACTACATGTACCTATATCAAGTGTAAACAGTAATTACAGTGGTACTTGGCTCTAACTTGATAGTAGAGTCGAATCTTGAAGCAGCAGTATCAAGGATGTTGTATGCTCTAAGATCAAATCGCTTCTAAAAGTACACAATGTGAACTACATAAATCATGAAAGAGGTGGTGGTTTGGGTGATACTTACTCCATACCCTGTGCTGTCTGTCTTGATATGTCAATAAGTTGATGCATGACTAATTTAGTGTCTAGAACATGGAGATGTTTATAGAGTGACGAGCCTTCACACCACTGTGTCACGATTGCTAGCTGGGGCTTGGAGGTGCACCCCATGAAAAGCAGGATGTTGGCGTGCCTCGTTTTCCTGTAAAATTCAAGTTTTTGAAAATGTCGACAGCTCAAAATCACATTGTAGTACAGGTTTTGAGAAAAACACTAAATAGCAGGATCTTGAAAAAAAGAGTGAATGCGTTTCTAGAAAGGAAATCCATACACGGAAAGAGACAAACTAATATCCCCTGTCTCACCGACCGGACAAAACAAGACCAACAATGACAGAACCACAAAAACACATAACCCTGAATGGCAAAGATTTTATAAGTTTGTAATTAAAATTGGGAAAATGACTTTACTAATAAACAATAGGAATAAAAAATGTGAGAGGGTTATTACACGAATCATTCTAAAAAACAAATATAATTAAATGAATATAGCCACTGGACATAAATATCAACAGTACATAAATTAATTGTCTATATACTTCATATTTACAGTACAAATATTCCTTTAGGTAAACAAAGTACATCAGACAAATCTTCTTGTGTTTTATTACTAAATTGAAAGCAACAGCATTGGAAACTTTTTAATTCCTGTCATCTTACAATCAATATCTGAGACATTTTTATGACCAAATCTATTTGGCATGAAAACCTGAAGTTGTTCATCAAGTATAAGAAAACCATGTTCCTCATGGTATGACTTGTTTTGACCGGAACATGCATTGAAAGAACTTACCTAAGTACAGCGACCTCATTCTTGAATGCTTGTAGTTGTGATGGAGTTGGATCCTTAACATTCAACCTCTTCACTGCTACAGAACCTGTTACACACAAAAAAAAATACAAAACTCAATGTTTATAATCTTATTACGAGTTTTATCAAAATCAAGGTTTCCTAACTGGTAACTTTATGATGGTTTTGAGGTCAGTCATTTTTAGAGACTAAACAATTCAATTAAGATTTTCTTGCACTTTTAGAACCCTGGACAACTCCACATTCTTATACAAACAACATAACAATAACTTACCATGCCATTGTCCACTGAACACAGTTCCAAATGATCCTGCTCCTATCCTTGATCCTAACCTAATCTCATCAGTTGGTATCTCCCAGTCGTCATTGGAATCTCTTCTTGTCCTCTGAAACGACAAAGGTTCATTTTAGGATAAGTAAACATCACGAGCATAAAATATTCTGAAAAGCAATCTGATGACAGCATGTTAGCTAAAATATTAAAGGTAATACAAAGTTTTGGTATGGGGTCATGAATTTGGTTCCCATGAACATATTGGAAGCATATGCGATCTCACAATATTCAGTCATCGTTTTTTCGCGGTCGAAATGGAGTCTTAAGTTATGAAATTGTAAATAATAAACCATGTATGTTGTGTAGCTCCCTCTCAAGGTCAAGATATTAATTAAACTATAAAACAATGTTTCTTGACCAAAATCGAACGATTAGTTATTCCCGTTTGGAAATTATATATCACAACTACATAATTATTCTGAGATTTTGATGGTCGAAGCTATGTACGGCCGTAGGTGCTATTTGAAATATATTAAAATTTATCGGGAGCACCAGTAAATTTTTATATTTAATTTTTCTCGAAAGCAGAAGTGTTTTAGGGGCTAAATTTTCTAGTGCTTATAATACATCAACAGGGGCATCCAAATATATCAGATTTGTAAAGAATCACTATCCACCCAATTTTCAAATTTCCCAAATTTTGTATTACCTTTAATGTACATGAGGTATTATTAGTAGAGGCAGTTGGCATTGTGACACCCAAACACCATGTAAGGACGACGTACTATCATCAAGCACATCTCATCAAAATACATCTACTTTATCTTGCCGTCTTTAGTGGCTGAATCAGACAGGGCATTCTACCAGCTAGGCTGATGGATGGAGGATGGTTGCTAATTATGGAACCTATTAACTCTCTGTTCAGAACATGAACTATTGTCAGGCACTTCTCATCATGTATGTAATGTCTACACTTACTTTATGAACCAGCAATGGGGCACATTTGATCTTATTATCCTCAGTGTCGTCTTTGAAGTCTGACTGGTAGGGTTCGGGTGTGAATTGTGAGACCCAGCACAACTGTTCAAAGTTTATACTGTGATCTAGAAGTTTTTATCAAAGAACTATCATCTCTACTCACCTTCTAACTGGGCAACACGGCAAGTTCGATCATACCGTCTTGTGCATGTGAGCCATATGGGGTATTCGTCCACCTAGGCTGACAGAGGGCGTGTCAACTACAGGACCAACATTCTCTGTTCTGACTAGGTACTATCATCTACAAGTTCTCAAGAAATATCTACTGTCTGTACTTACCCTATGACCTAGCAATGTGGTGGGAGGTTTGATCTTGTTATCCTTAGAGTCAGAGCCAGGAAGGACGTCCTTCCACCTAGGCTGATGGGTGGGGGAGGGTTGGGAACTGTGCGATCCAGACTCTCTTTTTGGACTGTGTATCAGGTTCCTAGTGTTCGGTAAACTAGACGCTAAGCCTGTGGGAAGCATGAAAAGAAGAATTTTAATACAAGAAGAAAATTGACAAGAATAAAGAGTTAAGGATGGAAAGGAAGAGGTTTATAGAGATTAGATCTTGGATCTTCAAGTGGCAACCAGTCAATAATACAAGAGCTCTTAACCAATCATGAAATCAATGTCCATGAAAACTTGTTTGCATCAAAGTGATGTCTATGTTCGGCATCAACTCATTCAGGTTTACTTGTTGATCATGGTAGAACACTGTGAAGTTCTGTTATAATAATAATCAATAATAATAATAATAGCCTAATAGTCCACTCCAAATTTTATTACACAGAAATGGAAATTCTTTTAGCCCAATTGATCGTGAGCCCGGCAGCCACTGAGCAGCGCCAGATCGACGTTGCTCTATCCCTTACTTCTAGGATGCAAACAAATTAAACTAATTCATCACCCAATACAGTCATGCTGTTTTGCTATAGATTTATACGTTTTTCTATATACCATGCCATACCATTCCAATGCTTCAGGGGCACCTCAGCTCCATATAATTCTCTTTTTTTCTTCTTCTCAATGAAAGAGCATTTAAACTGAATGGCATGCACCAAGGCACTACACCATTCAATTGCAAACTGGATCTGAATGTGCTGACAGCAAACTGCTTCTTACCCAGGCATCGCATATATTCTATACTCTAACATACCCAAAGTCCAGGATAGCACATTCAACACAACTTTTGTGTGTGTATTATGTACTGGAACTCTGCTCTGTATCATTTTCGTAACAGAAAATGCCCTGGCTAAATTGGACAGCCAAGAGGTCACCTTACACATTTGTGTATACAGTGTCATTGTAAATTCCATACATTATGGCATAGTCCAAATCATCATCAGGGTATTGGTGTAATAATTTGTATGGTAAATAATGATATCAATGTTTTGAAAGTTGATTCGTATGATTTGTCAACCACTATCTTTCATCAGTCACTAGGCTATGTACTGGTCTTTCCACAGCTGATGTGTATCTTGCGTATCATGTTGCTGTTTAAGATATATGCTCATTTTTATATATTCCCCATTTCATGTATCCATCTAGACATGAACACATCAATGCTTCAGGGGCACCTCAACTCCATATAATTCTCTTTTTTTCTTCTTCTCAATGAAAGAGCATTTAAACTGAATGGCATGCACCAAGGCACTACACCATTCAATTGCAAACTGGATCTGAATGTGCTGACAGCAAACTGCTTCTTACCCAGGCATCGCATATATTCTATACTCTAACATACCCAAAGTCCAGGATAGCACATTCAACACAACTTTTGTGTGTGTATTATGTACTGGAACTCTGCTCTGTATCATTTTCGTAACAGAAAATGCCCTGGCTAAATTGGACAGCCAAGAGGTCACCTTACACATTTGTGTATACAGTGTCATTGTAAATTCCATACATTATGGCATAGTCCAAATCATCATCAGGGTATTGGTGTAATAATTTGTATGGTAAATAATGATATCAATGTTTTGAAAGTTGATTCGTATGATTTGATAACCACTATCTTTCATCAGTCACTAGGCTATGTACTGGTCTTTCCACAGCTGATGTGTATCTTGCGTATCATGTTGCTATTTAAGATATATGCTCATTTTTATATATTCCCCATTTCATGTATCCATCTAGACATGAACACATCAGAGAGGTTTCAAGGTTAACCTCTTAATATACATCTCAGAACACTGTAACTAACTAGCAGATAAACTGGAAAAATGCTCTCCGGTGGAAGTGGAAATGCTCATATTGATTAACAACTTTTAAAGAATCAAATGCAGCCACTGGGTGATGTTACGTTAATGTTGATGAGCAAAGAATAAAAAGGATAGTTGATATGTTATGTTAAAACGACCAAGCCAATGATTAGCTGGCTATTCGCAATGATTTATTAAAGAATAAAGCAGGATTTGGATGCGATTCATATAACTTGCGTCTGTATGCTGGTTATCATTGATGGTGGGCAAAAGCAAGATTCATAATTTTCAAAATGCAACTACCAGAACCTACACCATGTTAGGCTAATGTAGAGATCCCTCCATTTCATTTTTTATGCAACATGGCACAGAATGGGGGCTGAATAATACAAAATAAAGCACAGAAACAAACCCTCAATAGCGAGAGCAAAATTAAACATGTAAGTCAACTCTTATAAATATCTCAGCCCAAAGTATCAGCCCACCATCTTAGTGTTGAACCTGTGCTACGTTGTTTATGAGACAACTGTCCATTTTGCTAACTCAGCCATGACATCTAGACCTGAAAACAGCTTCACAAGGATTCTGTGACAGACCTCTCATCATTTTTGCATAGGTCCGTTATTCATTTTTCATGAAGTCACAGACCAAATTTTGGCAATACCACACAATGGGAGAAAGGGGATGCCCCAGAATATAGTTCCACGACACATACTTGAGGCAACAATTTTTCTGCAGTCAATTTCTAGCTTAGACTGAATTCCTAACTTCAACCCTGGTCCTTACACCATCTACTTCATCCTAACCCTAACCCTATATCAGAGACGGAATGAATCCTGGAGTAAGGGTGACCAGGGGGGGGGGGGGGTGTTTCACAAAGATCCTAAGTTGAACTTATCTCTAAGTTGTTTTAAAAGGCATAAAATGTTCATTAAAATCATTCATATTTTCTATTATCAAGGAGATTTCATGTTCTTGACGTAGAATTTAAGAAAAGTCTTGAATAATTGAATTTCTGCTTTTGAATATATTTCATTTTAAGGCTACACGTCCAACTTAGAGTTAAGCTCTACTTAGGATCTTTGTGAAACACCCCCCAGAGCATGTGTCGTGTCACCAGAGATGACCCTGCTACCAATGTTATGAGTTTTGATAAGCTGCGTTAGTAAGATAGAATGAATGAGAGTGAAAGTGTTAGTGTTACCAAGGCAACTCACCATTGGCGATGTTAGTGGGGTCATAGTCAAAGACGCCATCCTGAACGGCACTGTTCGGGGTTAGCACTTTGCCATGTCCACCGCCGTGAGCCCCATGGATGTTAACAGCGGCGCTAGCAGTGTGTCCATCTGAGCACACAGACAGACAGACGGACAGACAGACAGCATGGCAGATGGGAATGAGAGGATGGAGGGGGATGGAGTAAATGGAGAGGACAAAGTTAGAAGATGAGGATGGGGATGAAGATAAAAGGTGGACATGGGCAAGTGAATTAGATGGTGGTTGCAAAGAGCGAGGAGAGGAAATGAGGGAGAGAAGGAGGGGGGGTAAGGCAGAAGAGAGAGAAAGGGAGTGAGAAAAGGAGGGAGAGGGATAGGAAGAGAGAGAGAGAGAGAGAGAGAGAATTGTTAATCAATTTATGAGATAATTAGAAAGTTAAAGGATGGAGATGGAATACATAGAAAGCATATGATGAAGTAAGTAATAAAAGAAAAGTAAAAAAAATGTATAATCAAAACAGGTTAAGGAATGATGGATTGTGATATAGAAGAACAGCAAAAAAAGCGCAAAGAATAGAGTACATTTCTCAACATATTATTTATTATTTGTTGCATAGATGAATATTCAGAAAAGAGCAAAGTGCGACATCAATATAATAACATATGAGGTTAGGAGAAAGATGGTTGAATGAACAAAATTGTGTTAGGAGCAGGTTTAATATGCGACAGCATTTATCAAAGAATATATTAAAAGGAAGATGGGTATGCACATGATGGGAAGATATTTGGTGGATAACAAAAAAAAATAAAGAAAAAGAGACAGGAAAAAAGTTAGCAGAAAAGCTAGATTTATAGATATTCAATTATAAAGACCTGGATTAATCATTGAAAGAAAAGAACAGAAACTAAAAATTAAAAAAAAGATGAAAAATAAAAACAATACCACATAAGTTTTATTAACAGCATGAAAAATGAAAGAAATTAGTTAGAAATATATGTGTTTAAGTGATATATGTTAGGTTTGCATATATGTATGAATATGAAGGTGATCACCCAGCGATTCCAAGAAGTTGTTATCCTGCTGTTACATGTACCAACCTCATCACTCGCAGTAGCAAGACAAATGGGATCCCTTTCTTAAAAGTGATTTGAATGAAAGAAAGTAATGTTGATTCCCTCAGAATCTGATTTGGATGTTCCTCAACTACTAGAAAAGCCAGAGATTATTTTCACCAAGACTTAGATCAACTTAAGTTGGACTTGAACTATGGCAAACATTGGTCTCTCAAAAGACGTACAAATCGTGGTCACAAATCTACAGAATTAAACAATTTGATACTTCATTATTAAAGGAAATATATACGATCTAAAGATCATAATTTCTAGGGTTTTTTCCTCTAATTTTACATCTGGTTCAAGACTTTTTAAGGGCATCAATCAACTGCGGTAGTATAAGTCCAAGTCTTAAAGCGTATCTGCCATAGTTTACAGGAGGGATTAGACTGCCCTGCAAGGTCACTGGACAGGTGGTTATCTCATCACCTCAGCTCTCAGTTAACATAAGAACAAGAGGATCATGGGGGACCAATGGTTTGTTATATAGAGGGCGCAAGTAGCTACAAGTAGGGCAGTGAGCCTTTAAATAAAACTATAAAGTTTACAATGTAAGTAACTTTTTTTTCTTCAACAATGAAGTATCACAAAATGTAAATGATGTAGGATGATTTTTGTGTGTGTAGAAAGTCTAGCAAGGATAACAACTAAATATTCAGAAGACTTATCTTGATAAAATAATACATGCCAAAATGACAGTGACATGCAATCCAGTACAAACGACCCATATGTTTGCCATTTCTGTAACAATATTACATATTCTTCATGTGTCCAGTTATGTCAAGTGATGCTAACACAAAGAATTCACACCAAAATCTTCAAGATACATAACATTTACAATACTAAAGCCTAATCCAGCCTGGGATAGTAATCCACCATGGCAAAATGAAACAATAAACAAATGGAAAGTGGGGTAAAAAGAAGCTACAATGTACATGCCCCAGAGGTGCCTAGATGTCAGGGAAAAAAATATTTAAACAATTTCGGGGGCTACTTTTAAAGCTTACTTGCATGAAAATAACACTATTTAAGTTTTGCATTGAACTCTATGCAAATTTTCGAGGGCTTTTTTATAACTTTCGGGGGCTTTTTTTGGCATTTCGAGGGGCAAATTCGCCCGAGCCCCAGTGTATTTTTTCCTCAGCTAGATGTACTAAATCATCTCTGTGTTACAAGATAGAGAATTGTTAAGCATGACGTTTTTTCATCAGCGTTTCTTCTTAGCTTATTGACCATGTTGTGTGTGGACAATGCTTTTTCTCACATGACAATAACATGCAACAACATGCAATCATGGGCAAAGACTTAACATGCACAACATTATCATGATTGAACCAAGAAAGACAATATTGCCATGATTGAACCAAGACAACATTATCATGATTGAACCAAGAAAGACAATATTGCCATGATTGAACCAAGACAACATTATCATGATTGAACCAAGAAAGACAATATTGTCATGATTCGAACCAAAAGAGACAACATTATCACGTTTCGAACCAAGAATGACACAATTGTTGCGATTTGAACCAAAAGAGACAACATTGTCACATTTCGAGCCAAGAAAGACACTATTGTCAAGATTCGATCGAAGAAAGACAACATTGTCATGATTCGAACAAAAGAACGATACCATTGTCATGATTCGAACCAAGAATGACAATCGAACAAAGAACGATACCATTATAATGATTCAAACCAAGAAAGACATTATCATGATTCGAACAAAGAAAGAAAATATTGTCAAGATTTCGAACCAACAAAGACAATGATTCGAGCCAAGAAAGAAAATGTTATCAAGATTCGAACCAAGAAAGAAAGAAAGATAACAAGATCCATGCAGATTCTCAAGGCATGCATGTATCCAACATGCAATCTTATCACAAATAAAAGGTCAATAACTATGTTTTCAATGACATCAGGATAGGTAATAATTGTGATTACACTGATTCAATAATATTTATAGTCCTAACAATGGTCAACCATCTTAAGAATATTTGGTTTGATGGCTAGGTTACAGGGTTCTATAACCAATCTACAATCTTTTAATTTCAACACAATGGTCTTAGTACATGAAACAATCCTTTGTTTTAATGATCAATACTAAGAAATTATCACTACTAACTTCACCGCTATCAATTACATAGGAACGCTATAGGCAACTGTATACAAACACTCACTTGGATTTAGAGAGCTTTTTACTGGAAAAGCGAATCTTGAAAAAGCTTCACTCTGTTGAAAAAGAAGAAAAGAAAAGAGGATATCAGAAAGAGGAAAGTGGCAAAAAAGAAAGAAATGTGTAAAAGTAAATTAGATATACAGTATGAGAGTAAGAAGGAGAGAGGAAGAGAGAGAGAGAGAGAAAGAAAGAAAGAAAGAGACATTTCAAAGTTTATATCTATAATTTGTCTAATATACAAAGCCTCCAAGTAGTGACATTGAATGAAATAGTGTAAACCTACACAGATATTATGGAAAATATAATGATGGGGCACAATAACCTTCCAATGTGGTAGGTTTATTTTTAATTGTATTGTCTATCAATCTTTCCCTGGTTTATGGTTTTCTTATTCTTATTCTTTCACATAAACCCATGCTATTTTACCCATATCAACCGGTATTTTAAAATATTGTGGATACATTTCTACTTCATCTTGAGTCCCGATTGTACCTAAACCCCTTCCTCCATCCTATTATGTATCCATTTCTTAATGGAAAAACTAGGAAATGCAAAACACATAACTGGGATCTTAACACCCTATTACTCTTTAGAGTAATCTGGCTCTACAGAGAAGCTTCTCTCTTTGCAAGTACGCTTACATCAAACTGTTGACCAGGTACGTTAACTGCATTTTGACAGATGTTCGGTGCGGATGTCGAGCGTTCCCGTGGTAACGTATTCCTTGGGAAATCTTGGTCGTCCGATGATGGCGATTCAGGCTCATCGGGGAAGGTATCGGGATAATCATTGTAGTCATCTTCTTTCCGCAATGCCAATAATCTAAATAATGATGATAATAATAACAAGTACAATCATATCTAATTTTCTGTCAGTAATATATTGAATTGAATTGACATTTATTTCCATTATCATGGCAATATATACAAAGATAAAATATGTAATTTCATAATGGATAACAATATCAAAATTACATATAAATTGACATAACAGTGATGACATATCATGTGCAAACTTCAAACATTGTGCGAAGTTGTTCTGTATTTCATACACCTTCTTGCAATCTCGTTCATTACTTGAAGTACACTAGTTTAAAACAGCTCTGCTCAATATATACACAAACATGTATGATAACAACCAAGGCTTACACTGTCATCTCAAGGAGAACAAGTTTTATCAAGAGTTAGGCACTTTGGTATTCACCAACAAATTCCTCCCTTCCAAAGAGTTAGGCATTTTGAATACTGATCACCTGGTATGCAATTTAGAGGTATAGGGTACTGATCTTACAGATAATAAAATTCTAAAAATTAGAGCAATGCAGTTTTTGGCTTAATGTAACTCCTCCCCCCCCCCCCCCAAAAAAAAAAAAAAAATCCTGATGGCTTACACTGTTCTCTCAAGCAAGGAGAGATTATCTCCAAGGATAATCTGACCGGTTGCATACACACATATCAACAACAACGCAGTCAATATTCTACAGCCACCAGTTTTCAACTTTGACCCTGTACCAGTATTATACCTTAACCCTAACCCTAACACTAAACTCAATCCTAACCCTAACTTTAACTTTAACCCTACATCTTTGACAAAATAGATCAATGAGCGACTGTCGCCGGAGCATTTGCTGGAGCACTGATAGATACCAGGATGTCACAAGCAAACTTACAGCTTGTAAAGATTATCTCCTGTTGTCGATATGCATATCGTGGGCACTTTGTTAGCACATCGCTGATGGAATTTGTAGCTGCATGTTTGACATCGGAAGCCGTGGAATAGCAGCTTCTGACAGCTGTCACAAAAGGCTATTGCGAAGAAGGTTTTTCTGACCTGCAAGACAAAAACAAAAATCACAACTACATTTAATAGGTATTCTGAAGGCACTCTGGATGAAACCATCACAACAGACCAGCTGGAACAGACGGACTTAATTCTGATCTGTTTAACTAGAGCTTCATGAAATTTCTGCTTAACCTGTTGACTACTGAATTGTATAGGTCCCATAGGCTTAACACAGGGACCACCAGGTTCCCGTAAACAAAGGGTTAAAAGAACACTGGGCATGATAATAAAAAGGAAGTTACTGTATTGTTCTTGCTATCTGATGTATCTTATCATATATAAGTCAACTAAACTGTTTTCTGGAATTACACGTTGTATCACTGCTGTGATACAGATTTAAATCACATTCCGGTAATGTTACTGCTTCACTATTTATCATTTTTCTCTGCATGATCACGGATGGAGCATACACCCAATAATACTGAGAAAATACTCTGCTTTTTAGAATTCTACCTCAGACAAAAAAAGATTTCTGTCAAAGCCCTATAAATTTACAAAACTACAAAGAGAAGAATATATCGTGATATTCCCATTTTTCTTTCTACAAAGATAAAAAGCAGCTCTTGACCTCACATTATGCAAGTCAAGCTTCTTCATTCAAATCATGAATGCTAACCCAAAAAATCTCTGAAATGTACTTTAAATAATTACAAAGAATAAAACATATATAAACAAAACAGAAAACTTGAATTTCATAAAATTTAATGATACTTACAAAATTATGTGATATGCTACTTGGTGCTGGGAAATTTTGGGCTTTCAGTTCTACAGATATCTGTGAAGAAAGAGCAAAACTAAAAATTTAATTAGATTTCAAATATGTATTACATTACATATCTATCTTGCCAGTATTTACATCATGGCGGAAACCTCTCAAAAACTGAATTGTACGTATACAAGAAAGTTTTACAAAAACATCCATGCTTTCATTTTTCATTCAGCATAGCAGCAATTTAGAGACGAGGGTTAAGAGTCTGAGATGCTACAGGTTATAATTCTGACATGAATGGTATTTCGCTTCCAAACCTAAACGATATGATTACCATTCCTTATATCACTTCCATTTATTTCCTTATATCTGCTTTCACCAGCAGACTTATCATATATTCTGTAAAGCTGGATGAACATACAGTATGAGTCAAAATAAACTAACCCCCCTAACGCGTGTAACGTTTGCAATACGTTAATTATATATTTAACGTTTGTAGGCGTTACCCGTTAGACGTTAGCGTTACCCGTTAGTTTTGTTAGTTTTGTTAGTTTTGTTAGTTTTGTTAGATGATGTTCTAAAATTGACCGAACGAAGGAACGATATATGCGCTTCAAGAAAATGATGCCTAAAATATCTGAGACATCGTAATTATCATCTCAAAATACGAGCACGAGTATGTTCAAAATTAAATACGATGAAACAATGCCAAACTAATTTGAAACATCCTTATTATCGTCTCAAAATTAGGGAATGAAGTTACGATATGTGCTTCGAGATAATGATGCCTAAAATATCTGAAACATCGTAATTATCTTCTAAAATTGACCGAAAGGAGGAACGATATATGCGCTTCAATAAAACGATGCCTAAAATATCTGAAACATCGTACTTATCATCTCAAAATACGAGCACGAGTATATTCAAAATTATTTACGATAAAACAATGCCAAACTAATCTGAAACATCCTAATTATCTTCTCAAAATTAGCGAACGAAGTTACGATATGTGCTTCGAGAAAATGATGCCTAAAATATCTGTAACATCGTAATTATCTTCTAAAATTGACTGAACGAAGGAACAATATGCACTTCAAGAAAATGATGCCTAAAATATCTGAAACATCGTAATTATCATCTGAAGATACGAGTATATTCAAAAGTATTTACGATAAAACAAAGCCAAACTAATCTGAACATCCTAATAATCTTCTCAAAATTTAGTAGCGAACGAATTAACGATATGCGCTTCGAGAAATTGATGCCTAAAATGTCTGAAACCATGCCCCAAACGTCGAGTCTACCCTTTATCCTATGAAGTCCCTGCTTACTCGGGCTTCAGGACATCACTTTCACAGGTCATTCCTTTACCTCTCCTCCAAGTAAATCTAATTATCTCTAATCCTCTTAACTAGCGAGGGACAATTATCTATTACGTAATCACCTTGACTACAATACCTTTAATCACGAGTGTGCCAGATTAACTGCGTTTGTCTCAGTGTGTGTGTACTAGAACTTGTACTATAAATTGAAAAGGATATAGATCGCGGGAGAGAGAGAAGCGGAAACAATAGAATATCGCTGATGTTACAGGCTTTTATAACAAAAAGTAAGCCGACAGACCGAAAGAAATGAATGAAGAAAATGAAAACCAATATCACTGGCACTTGAAAAAATGAAAGAGACATTAAATCGCGGGAGAGAAAGAAGCGAAAACAATCAAATATTGATGATGTTACAGGCTTTCATGGCAAAAAGTAAGCCTACGCAACGACAGAAATGATTGAAGAAAATGAATGCCAATATCATCGGCGCTTGAGAAAATAAAACAATTAATGAGTTGCGGGAGAGAGACAGAAGCGAATTCAATTAAATATCGCTGATGTTATAGGCTTTTATGACAAGTTAGTAAACGGAACGAAACAAATTATTGAAGCAAATGAATGCCAATATCACCCCGGCGCTTGACAAAGTAAAAGAGAGATAGATCGCAGGGGAGGGAGAAGCTAAATCAATTATACATCGCTGATGTTACAGGCTTTCGACGGAACGACCAAAATGATTGAAGAAAATGAATGCCAATATCACCAGGCGCTTGACAAAATAGATCGCAGAGAAGAGAGAAGCGAAATCAATTATATATCACTGATGTTACAGGCTTTTACGACAAAAAGTAAGTCGACGGAACGAAAAAAAAATGATTGAAGAAAATGAATACCAATATCACGGTTATCACCAGGCGCTTGAGAAAATAAAAGAGAGATACATGTAGATCGAAGGGGAGAGAAGCGAATCAATTATATATCGCCGATGTTACAGGCTTTCATGGCAAAGAGTAAGTCGACGGAACGAAAGAAATGTATGAAGAAAATGAATGCCAATATCATCGGCGCTTGAGAAGGAAAAAAAAAAAGATATAGATCGCGGGAGAGAAATAAGCGAAAACAAATAAATATCGCTGATCTTACAGGCTTGCATGACAAAGAGTAAGCCTACGGAATGAAAGAAATGAATGGAGAAAATGAATTCCAATATCACCAGGCGCTTGGCAAAATAAAAGAGAGATAGATCGCAGGGAAGAGAGAAGTGAATTCAATTATACTAAATATCGCTGATGTTACTGGCTTTTATGACAAAAAGTAAGTCGACGGAACGAAAGAAATGAATGAAAAAAATAATTCCAATATCACCAGGACATTGACAAAATACAAGAGAGATAGCTCGAAGGGGAGGGAGAAGCTAAATCAATTATACATCGCTGATGTTACAGGCTTTTACGACAAAAAGTAAGTCGACGGAACGAAAACAATGATTGAAGAAAATGAATGCCAATATCACCAGGCGCTTGACAAAATAGATCGCAGAGAAGAGAGAAGCGAAATCAATTATATATCACTGATGTTACAGGCTTTTACGACAAAAAGTAAGTCGACGGAAAATAAAAAAAATTGATTGAAGAAAATGAATACCAATATCACGGTTATCACCAGGCGCTTGAGAAAATAAAAGAGAGATAGATCGAAGGGGAGAGAAGCGAATCAATTATATATCGCCGATGTATACAGGCTTTTATGGCAAAGAGTAAGCCTACGCAGTGACAAAAATGATTGAAAAAAATGAATACCAATATCACAGAACTACACGTGCACTACACTGTGAAGATCACTCCCTGGCCCTTGGCTCATGAATATAACTGTCAGATCCTGAATAGGGGCTATGATAGGATTAAGGCGATTAGCAGGTAATCCCTTATAAGGGATTACGAACAACCCTGTAAATGTGATGTCCCTACTTTTTAAGGGGATGTTTGAGTCATGCATCGTAATTATCATCTAAAAAAACAAGCACGCATAAAATTATATTCAAAGTGATTTACGATAGAACAATGCCATATCAATCTGAATTTCTGAAACATTGTAATTATCTTCTAAAATTTACCAAAGTCTGGATATGCGCTTCAAGAAAATGATGCCTATAGTATCTGAAATACTTATCAACTCAAAATACGAGCATGGAATTTTTTTTTAAAAATCGACAAAATAATGTCAAACTTATCTTAAATTAAGCTGATATGATAACTTATGCAGACGGACGATAACTGACTTCAAATCCAGGTACTATTCCATCAATAAGGTCAAAATAATGAAGCAATTATGTCATCATGAGCGCGAGATTTTGCAAACGTAAGACACGTGAAAAAGCATTGTAGTCATCCCGATTTATCATTGAACGGTTGCTCGCCCTAAATCAAAGCCATTTTATTCGATGCCAATTATGCCCATTGTTAGCTCAAAATTGTTGAGTTTTTACAGGGCTACGGTCTCGCAAGGTGAACATCAGAAGCAAAATCTCATTTTCTGCCAATTTCATAGCAGGACAAAGAGGAAGAAAAACGCGATGAATAGTATAAAAGATAGGGATCCAATTTATCCGGATAGCTACTGCTTTATAAATTTGTTCCCCCTGCTTTTGATTAACCTGCCACACATTTATAATCCCATATAGGAGAACAATGCAATGCATGTATCTGAGCAGCGTCTCTACTACTACCATCGCATGTCAATCATGAACAGTGGCCTAGCTCTTTTGTTCCATTTTGCAGTACATAATAATTAGTAGCCCCCTGCTGCCAATGACGAGAAACACCTCTATTTTCTCCATGCCTTTAAATATTTAATTTGTAGTGTGTCTTTTTTTATCTTTTGCATCCAGGACATGGCACAGAAAACATGCCTTCAGGAACGGTTGCATGAATTTATTTTTACAGAAATATGCATGTTGTTGATTTATGTTCATTATTTTGTTATTGGTTGCTATTTTTGGTACTAACAACGTCGTTTATAATACTAATTTAACAGTTTTCAAACATTCAACGTTTTATTTTGACATCGTTTTTTTTCTTCTTGCCCTGCATTAGAGTAATATGTTGAACATCACTTATGTTTCACTATGACTTGTTTTCTTTGAAACTCTTTACTATCTAGTCTTTCCGACTTTATTTTAAAATCTTTTGTTGTTTTTCATTATTGACTTTCTTAAGAAATAACTAATTTGTATTACTCGCTTTCTACATTTTCATTCTTATAAAATCATGTTTCGTTCCCCATTAACATATCTTAAAGCAGTAGTTCAGTTTTGGGGTGTATGGGGAAGGATTTGGACTATTCTCAGGACTTGGTGTCTAGTTTTTCTTTGCAACTCGTTACTAATTCAGTCTTTCCAACATTATTTTAATATTTAAGATATTTTGTTTTTCACTATTGATTTCCTAAAAAAATGACTACTTTGTATTACAACCCCCCCCCCCCCACCCCTTACAGTAAATGCACCTGACCTCATCGAGTCCTCAGAAGAGACGTATTTTTGGTTCTTGGAATTCAATTTAATTCCTTCCGATTCTTCAATTTGTCATTTGGTAATAACGCGATCTGACAATTGACATACTTGAATTACTTGATTGATAAAATTGTTTAGTAGGATGACCAAGTACTTACTGTATGCACTTGCCAACATCAGGCACATCATTTTGTGTATAAAGTGCCTCATCACTTTCTACCAACCTGTAT